TGGCCTCCCTCCAGCCTCTGCATCTTGGGTTCCCCGGGTGAAATGTGCTCCATTGCCATCTTCCACGGGCTGGTCAGGCCCAGTGGGGTCCAGGCCAGGCTCAGGCGGGTTCACACAGCCCTCTCAGAGCCCCTGGGCACCCCGCTCTGCATTCCCGGCAAGGCTGCTGGGTGGTCTATCGGCCGACCATTGACACTCAGGACGACTTAGGTCTAGATCCATTTGATGAGTCCACCGGCCTCTGTCCAGGAGGGCAGCCTGCCGCTCCGGTGGCAGGACTTTTCACCCTACGGCTCGGGAGAAGCAGGACTCCCCTGCTTGTGTCCTGGGTAGCCTTGGGGGTGATGCCTGCCCCTGTGCTCCTCTCTCTGACCCCACTCACCTGAGCTTGATGTCCGAATCTTGAGAGTGGACTACTGGAGCGATACCAGTGCCCGGCACCTGGCCATGCTGCTCTGCCGCCTTTGGCCTCGGTCGCTCTGGCAAAGAGCCAAGGCTATTCACTCGAGGCCATGTGCTCGGCCGCTGTGTGCCAAGGCATGTTCCCAGCCCTCTCTTCACGTTTCACGGTGTCACCAGGGTGCCTGTGCGTGTGGACTTAATTTATGTTCCTAGGTATATACCTAAGCTCTATAGTCCTGCATATTGATTCAGTCTTGGGCTTGCTTTTTTAATTTATAAGTTAATGCATTTTACCATATTTCAGAAATTTGAGGCCACTATTTCTTCCACTTTATTTTCCTTTCTTTCCAGGATTCTTATTACACTTATGTTATACCAGACAATGTTGGCTAATAGGTCTCTGAGTTTCTTCTGTTCATTTGTTCTTAATTGATTTTTTTCTCTCTGTTCTTCATATTGGATCATTTGTATTGATTTTTTTTCTGATTCATCAGTTTGATCTATCCTCACTCTGCTGTAAAGCACCTACAGTGAGGTTTTTACTTCAGTTATTGTACTTTTTAGTTTGACTCTGTGTTTGCTTCTCTTGTAGAGCTCCAATTTTGCTTTTTATCTTTTTATTGTGGTTGCATCTTCTTTAAAATCTTTACATACCATATAAATACATGTTATTATAACAAATAAATATATATGTCATATTTAGGCATTCATACATAACATCTGCCTTAAAATCCTTATCTGGTAATGGGTACATCTTTGCCATTTAAACATCACTTTATATTGATTGCTTTTTTTGCTGGTCTAGGCTGGTTGAGTGATTTTTTGTTGGACTTTAGACATTACAAATTATATAGTGAAGGACCTTAGGGCTATTGTGTTTCTCTATTGAGTGAACTTTTGTTTTTTAAACTGGTTCACTTGGCTGTACTCAGATCCCAACTCTGCCTTCCCTGATGTGAAAAGCACCTGCAATCTTGGTTATCTTCTGTTAGCCTTTGTAGTCTATGGGGCCACCAGTGTGTCCCTTATCCACATTGTTGAGTGGCCTGCCAGTGTTTTGAGAGGGTGTTGTATACAGATCTGTAGGACTTCCTAGGTCCAAATTCTCTTCTCTGACATCACCAGCCAGAAAGCAAGGCCAGTTTTATGGGCCTGTGGCCTGCAACTTTACCCAGGGCACTGGATTCAATGCTCTGCTGTGTCTTAATTTTTCAACAAGGGGCCACATTTTAATTTATAAACTTAAGTTTGAAAAATCTCTGCTTTGCTTGCTCCCGTTTTCAGCTGGCTCTATTATATAAACTAAGCCTTTTCCTTCTCATGTGACATGAGAGTTTAGCTAGTAAGTTATAGCAGGAAAGTAATTGCTACCAACCCCTGAGGGTTCAGCTCAGCCACCCCTTCCTTTGAAGGCCTTTCCTGTCTCACAAACCTCACCTGAGCACACCAATTTAAATCGGACCTTCCCTTACTGCTTGGAAGATCCTGCCATCTGTCTTCATGGCTCATGTATAATTGCAATGGACAGTAATACATTAACCTACATTTTTATGATTCAACATATTTCTACCTCACTAGTATGTAAACTCTACAAGAACCTATATCCTTTTCCTCCCGCAATGGCCAGTATGCCTAGAACATGGTCAGTGCTTGACAAACACAGAGTGAATACATCACAGGGCAGAGGCGGGCACTGCTGCCCTTTCTCACCCTGATTCTTGCAAGCAGACCAGAAAGACTAAAGACGTGTTGCTCAGAGTGGCAGACCTAAGTTTTATTAGGATAGGAAAGGGGAAGGGGACGTTCCCCAGGGAGACAGCAGGCACCCCTCTTACCCTCCAGTTTTGTTGGGTATGGAAGTTTCCAGAGAGTCCACTGGGTCCACCTCTTGATTTTTGACTGACAGCATGATGACATTGGACTTTGAAGTTCCCACTGCACATGACCACTCGGGGTCACTTTGGCCCACATTGACCAGTTCTAATGGAACTTGTTCTTTCAGGTTTTAGGTTAGAGTAAATTATCCTTGTCTCCCTTTGTTCCAGGATCTGCTCTGTGTAAAGGTCACAAAAGTACCCCCCCCCTTCGAAGTAACGCGTGTTCCTTCTGCAGGTAACAGGCTGTTCACTGAGGAACGTAACATGTCCTGTCAGCTGAAGCCAGGCAGGGTTTCGGGTAAACGGCATTTTATTTAAAAGAAAGGAAACATGGAAGAGAGGGGAAAGGAAAGGAAGAAGCATGTGGGGCTCAGTACAGTGGCCCAGTTTTATGGGACTTCCTCTTGACCCTGGGTTCCTTCTGCCGGCATCTGTCTGTTCTCTATCAAATGAGTCAATGGATGAAAGACTGAATGAAGAGTGAAAATTTGGTGTCTAGTAACTTTTTTGTCTCCCTTCCTCCTACTGCTCAAAGACCTAAAGCATGCCGTGATCTGGGCAAGTTGTGTGAAGTAGTGCTAGGTCAGAAGCACTGCATAGCACGTGTGTTTGTTATTAGCAGGGCTCCAGCAGAAATGGCAATCCCAGGTCTCCAACTTCTTTCTTTAAAAATCAAAGACAAGTGTCAGCTGATACAATGTACGCAGCACTGTGCCGCATTAGATGGCCTAATCTGCTGTGTCCTTGTGTTCGCATCAGATGTATTTAACTATCCGTTATGAGATTCCCTGTCATTGTCTTCAAAATTAAAGAACACGCTTTCCTTTTTTTCTTTTGTGTGTGTGGGGAGGGGCATGCTGGGGTGGACCCCAGGGCACTCTACCACTGAGCTGCATCCCCAGCTCTTTTTATTTTTTCCTTTGAGGCAGGGTCTTGCTAAGTTGCCCACGCTGGCCTGGGACTTGCCATCCTCCTGCCTCAGCCTCTCTAGTAGCTAGGATGACAGAGTGGACCCGGCTAAGAACACATATTATATGCAGGGTCTTAAAAACCTTTTTGAAATGTTCACCTATGGTTAGGTAGCTGGTCAGCCACGAGTGGATGAGCAGGGAAAGGTGGTGAGAGGTGACTGAAAAGCACAGGAGCCTTACCTGACAGGCAAGCTCCTGGGGGATGTCAAAACCTCCCCCAGCTATAGATCAGGTCACAGCCTGTCAGGTCCTGGACCCTCCCTTACCACCAACTATGTCACCTCTGCCCATCACCATGGCAACTAAAACATCAAGCCCCTCACAAAATCTGCTGAGGGCTATTCAAAACTGAAAGCTAACTAAGGGCAAAACCAGGGGAACTCAAGTGTCCCTGAAACACCCCACTGCCTTCTCCCAGAGGTGGTCTGTGCCAATTCTATGCTGCAGTCACCTTGCTTCTCACTGTGCTGACCCCCAACAGCTTTCGTAAAAGCAATTGACCTGTAGCCTGCCTGTCTGAAGCCAAAAGGATGTGTTGTATTGCTGAGCAAACGACCTGGATCTGCCGGAGAAATGCAAGGGCAGGAGTGCCTATGGGGGAAACCCCATCACCTGCCACCAAAAGCTGGACCTGGGTGAGACTCTCCAGTAAAAGTGGAGGGCCAGAGGGTGCACTGTCCTTCTCTCAGAGAGGACCCACTCTCTCCCTTAAGTGCCCCCCCTTTCCATTTTACTATTCCTTCTAATGAAACTCAGTCACATGTCTGAAACCTTTTGGACATCAGGGAGGAAGGCAGCTGCCAGCTCTCCTGGGAAGGCCAGCGTACCTGTGACACTCAGAATGATGTGTTGAAGTTTGCCCCACCTGGGGAGGTGGACCCTGGAGGGCCCGCACCTGCAGAGGCAAGGAGAGAGTACACACCCAGTGTGGTGCACCCCTTCTCCTCTCTGTGCTGCCTCTAGATTAAGAAATGAATTCGAGGTGCAATTCCGTGTCCTCACTTTAGCACGTATGTTGAATACATGACAATTATAAGTGCTGGTTTTTATTTTTTATTGGTACTGGGGTTGAACCCAGGGGTGCTTAACCACTGAGCCACATCCCCAGTCCCTTTTTAAATATTTTATTAGGGCCAGGGTCTTGCTGAGTTGCTAAGTGCCTCACTAAATTGCTGAGACTGGCTTTGAACTCTTGATCCTCCTGCTTCAGCTTCCCAAGCCGCTGAGATCACAGCCGTGCGCCACCGCGCCCGGTTCGGCTTTTTAATTTTTAAGAAATTGTGGAGATTGTTGCAAGTGACGCCTGGACTTCCAGCATTTGAGATTTTGGTCGGGATCAAAGAATATAAGTATTAAAGTATCAAGAGTGGGAGGGGTGAACGGCTGGTAGAAAAAGAGCGACAAGGCGATGCGTCCCTGCAAGTCACACTTGGGAGCAGAACGACCTTGAGCTGAGCTGCGTCCCGACGCCAGGCTGTAGATGCTCATCCACCGCCGTCCGAAACCACAGCTGCCCTGGTTTTGTGACAGCTGCGCCCGCGGTTCCAGGCGGTGGCCGCACGGCGGCGGCGGCGGCCCTGTCCGCAGCTGCGCGCCGGCTGGGCGGCGGCATTTACGGTAGCGAGGGCCCGGGCCCGAGCGAGTCTACGGTCAGCCGGGGGCGATATTTACGGTAACGACGGCGAGCCCGCGGCGGGGTTGACGGCAGCGGGCTGCCTCGCGGCTCCGAGTCCCGCGGTCTCTGGCGGAGGCGGCCGCCTCTCCGCACCCCGCGGACAATGCGGCACGGCCCTCGGCCGCGGTGAGGGGCCGGGGCCCTCAGCCCGCGCCCGGCCTGAGCGCGGGGCCCTGCGCCCGCCCCCCATGGGTCTGTGCTACAGCCTGCGGCCGATTCTCTTCGGGGACACCGAGGACGCCCCTGCGGACCCCGAGTCCCGGCTAGAGGACGCGCGGCCCGACCCGGCCGCGGCCGGGGCGGCGGGGAATGATGCGGCCGGGACCCCACTCCCACGAGGCGGCGGCCAGAGCGCAGCGAGCGCGCGGCCCAGCGCGGACAAGCCGAAGGGGAAGCGGCGGCACCCGGAGCAGCTGCGCGCCGAGGAGCGCGAGGCCGCCAGGGAGGCGCGGAGAGTGAGCCGCGGCATCGACCGCATGCTGCGCGAGCAGAAGCGGGACCTGCAGCAGACGCACCGGCTCCTGCTGCTGGGTAGGTCCCGCGCGCGGGCGGGCACAACGGGGCGCAGGGCGCGGCTCCCCGCGGGGTGGGCGACGGTCGCAGACGCGGTCCTGGCGGGTCAGACCGCCTGGGAGACCGCCGGCTGAGACAGGCCTGGAAAGGCTTTATCCGGACAGTATTTTGCTGCAGCCACTGAGAACACGCTCAGGGGTGGTTTTGCGCCTTTGCGATGCCGGCTGGTTGCGCGCTTGTAAGTAATTAATGAGCCTCTCCCGGAAGCATCCTCCTTCTCGGGAAGCGTCCTCCCTCCCGTCCTCGGGTTGATTCCCACAGTGCGCTCCGCGCCCTGCCCCGGCGTCAGGCAAGAAGCAAGGGAAGGCGTTACACGGCCTCTTAGCCTGACCGCAAAGCTCTCCTTCCCACCCCTGTGTTGGAGAAGAGTGCCGGCGAGTGTGGCTCGAGGACTGCTGGGAAGTAACGTCAGCGTCCGAAGCCTCGGCCCCGGCGCCTACAGGGCATCTCGAAGCCCCGCTCAGCCCCGGCGCTGTGGGAACGCTTCCTCGTCCCCAGCTCCCACAGCTGTCCCAGCATGGGCTGCAGGCAGGCGGAGGACCGAGCGCGCTCACCGCTGCGTGACGGGTGCTCTGTCCCAGCCGAGCTCAGCGTTAGCGAGCACAGGTGTGTCTCTGCCAGTTAGCGGCCAGAGTCACTTCCTGGACGCTCTGCTGTAGGATGAGGGGGGGCGGGGATCCTGAATTCTTGACTCTACTTGTTCCCTTTTAAACTTTAGGGGAAAAAGTGACAAAGTGACGTGGGCTTTTGATCTCAAGTTAGTGACAAGAAGGAAGAAGTCTACTTGGGTCTAGCCCTGCTGTGCGAGGGGGAAGGAGCTAACCCATGACTGGAGTCAAAAGTCTGTTTACAAATGAAGGTGACTTTTAAAATCTAGACAACAATAAATATTGAATTTAGAAGGACTCACCTGCTGCAAGAATGATTAAAACAACATGAACCTGCTGCCATGTCATGGGAAAATATCTGAGTTCTAAAACAAAGGGAATTGTTTTCAAATAAATAACACAAAATAAATATGATAGTGCTGCCTTATCTCCAGGGGTTTGATCCAAGGTCCCATGGATAACTGGGACAGTGTAGGCACCAGACCCTCTCTGTACCTGCTTTCCCCTATACATACACACCTGTGGTAAAGTTTAATTTATAATGTGTCTGAAGGCATGACGAACAAAACAGCAATTATAACCACTTACTGTAATGAAAATTATGTGAAGGTGGCCCCCTAAAAGTCTTATTATGTTTACTCACTCTTCTTGTGAGTTTTAATGAGACTGTATAGTGAAACATATCTCTAGAAAATTAATGAAAAGCAGTTCTGGGACGGTGGGAAGCTCTGTGGTAGACTGTGTACTTAGTGTGCCACCAGGCCCCGGCTCCATCCCCAGCACCAAAATAATGATGAAATAATAATTACTGTTATTTTGTTATATGTTAGTTATTTTGTTACATATAACATTATTAGTAATTTGTTATATATCATAGAAATAATGAATATATAATAAAAATTTAGTAAACTGATTTTTGGGAAAGAGAAGTGGGAGGTAGTGTCTGAAGAACAGAATGGTGGGCTCTAAGCAGCCCATTCTTTGAACAGGTTTTGAATGACCACATTCATGGACATGGTTTATCTCCGGCCTAGTGGAGCTGGTGATCAACGTCGCCTGCCACCTGCCCTTGAATGAGAGGACTGGTGTGCCAAGTTCTCCACCCAAGGACCTCACACTGCAACTCGGGCTGTTACTTCTGTCTGATGCTGTTTGTCAGGTGTTTTGTAGATTTGAGTTTTGAACACAGAAAGGTTCTTGGTTTTGTTGGCATTCCCGATGGATTTACTGAGCAAACAATGTTTGAATCGGAGCCCTGACATGCAACCAAGGATGTCCTCAGATGCTTGCTTCTCCTTGCCCCGCCTGCCTACTGGTTCTGGAAGTGAGTGGGGAGCCTGGCGTGGGGGTCAGAGCACTCACAGGCTCCAGGAGGGAGCCTTGCTGCAGGGCTGCCAGCTAGACAGCTCAGGGCTGCACAGTCCCGGGTGCTCTCCTCCCCACGGTCATTCCTCCCCCGGGAGTCCCTGCACAGACCAGATGAGCCCCTCTGAGCCTCAGCTCCCTTGCCAATACTAATACCAGTGTGAGGACTCATCGGGAGGAGTCAGCGAAATGGGTTGAGGTGATCTCTGTGAGCTCACACTCAGGAAGGTGGACCGGTCTCAAAACCCCGCATCCAACTGTACCAACAGAATCTTTTCCCGGTGCTACTCATGCTCTCCATGGTGCACACGACACGACACTCGCACAAGAGTCACAGCCCTACAGGGTGCGGCAGAAGGTCGCACAGTGGAGTGGTCCTGCGGGAGATGCGGATGGGCACGCAGGCGTGGGCAAAAACGAGGAGGGAGAGGGGCTGCCTGAGCTGGATGGCGCATCTCGTGGGGTCTCAACACCCTGGGGACTGACGAGGCGGTGGCCGGACACCTGGATCTCTCTGCCTTCTAGCTGCGGTAATGTGGGGCCACCATTCTCCTCAGCAAGGAACCTCAGAGGCAGAGGTGTGGAGGGAGCAGAGAACGAGGAGCTTCGCTTTGGGCATTGGAAACAGCTGCAGTGGGGCTCCCATGGCAGATCTGTGAAGGGGCTGGGTGTCCCTGGGGGTCTGCAGCAGGAGGAACGCTCAGGTGGAGCCAGAGAGATGCCCAGGATGGGCAGAGCCGAAGAGAAGGGCCTGGACAGGGGCTCATGGAACTGCGGCCATCCAGAGGCGCTGGAGGAAGGCCAGGCAGGAAAGGGCTTGAGAGGAAGAGAGCACGCAGCAGTTTCAACCAGGAGCTTGAAGATAATACTGAAGGTGATCCATCGGCTTGGCTGCTTGTGGGATCAGGAGCGGGCTGAAGATTGACACAGTGTGAACGTGGACACCCACGGTGCCTGTTCTGGGTGCACTTGGTTGCAGAAGACAAAGCAGCTGCCCCCGTGCCTCTCTGGTGCCCACAGAGAGGTGGCTCAGGAGGGTACAGAGGATGCCCTAGTGGCACTCCTTCTAAGAGGAAGGTAAAGGTGGGGGAGGAACTACCGTCTTCCAGCTCAGGAAGTTCCTGATCACTGTAGCCTCTGCTTTGATGCTGGTGATGAGTCCACCACGTAGCACTGGGGCATGGATCCAACCCGGCCCCTCCACCACACTGTTGCGTACGTCTGTAAATTACAGTGAGATCCTGCAGTAGCACACAGGATTTGCAGTTCAGATGGGACCAGGAGAGGCAGCAAGTTCCCTTGCTGACCCCATCTTCCCAGGTTTCCAGACATAAGCCTTTTCAACAACGACACCTACCTGATAGGGCCTGAAATCAGCTCATGACATTGAAAGCGACAATCAGGAGACTTCCCCAGTGTGTTGCTCAGCTTGCCTTGCCATAACCAAAACACCTGCCAAGAGCCACAGGAAGAAGGGAGAGTTTATTTTGGCTCATGGTTCCAGAGGTTCAGTCTATGGAGGTTCATGTCCATTGCTCTGGGCTCAAGTGAAGGGCATGGTGGAGGGCACTGCTCTATCCCTGGCAACCAGAAGCAGGAAGAAAGGGGGAGAGGAGGAAGGGGCCAAGGGAAGAGGCACCCTCCAGAACTCTTCCAGGACCTGCCTCCTCCAGCCACACCCCCTGCCTAAGCTACCACACCATTAGTCACATTAGACTACTTCCTAGTCTGAATGGACTGATTTGCTCGCGGCTCTCACAATCCAGTCATTTCACCTCAGAACATTTCCACATTAACAGAGGTGCCTTGGGGGGTGCCTCCCATGCAAACCATGGCAACCACTATGTAATTAAATAAGAATAAAGAACCCTACAGAATTGCTCCTCATCTCCCAGCACCCAGAATAATTTAGTTCCTGTGTAATTCACTCATACCTAATATCAGTTCTGGTTGATTCCAAACTGAAATCACCCTTTGGCTGAAAATTCGGTGCTGCTAACTGGAGCAGCGTCAGGCTCCTGTATTCAAGAGTCAGGTGGAAACCGTCCCATCATTTCAGTTCCCTTTCCAGGGAGGAACAGGCAGAGCACAGGGCACTTGGGGCCGTGGAGCTACTCCACATGCACATCCTTGTTCATTTGTGCAGATCCACAGAACACCCAGCAAAGAGGAAGAGCAGCCCAGACCTGGGCGGGAATGGTGTCTAGTCCAGCCCCGTGGATGGCACCAGATGGACAGCTCCGGGCATGGTGACAGTGCCTTGAGGGACGGGGATGGGGAACGGCTGTGCCAGCTGCTCCGTATTACTCTGAACCTAAGACTACTCTTAGAAGGTCTATTTCTAAAAACTCCCTACTAGGAAAAGAGGTGGGTGAAAAGACTTTGTCCTTGATTGGAATCCCGGAAGGGGGAGCTGATGGGGAGGAGGACTCGCAGGGCCAGAGAGCAGGTCATCTGACAAGCTTCTCAGGGCCACAGACACCACCACCTCCTCCTCCAAAAGAGCCCAGGTAGGTTGGCCAGAGCAGGAACGAAGTGTTCGTAGTTAAAAGACGCACCCTGTGATAGGAAGACCATCACCTACACCCCGCTGATGCCTTTCTGGGTGACTGTCCCCAGCAGCAGAGGCTTCAGGCTGGCTCTGTGGTATTGACACCTTGCTGGACACGGAGACCAGCACACATGCTGGCCCTGGTCCCTGCTGGTGCCCTGGCTCTGGCCTTGTCGGGAGGAATGGCAGCTCTCGCCCTGATGCTGGTGTGGGAGCCTCTCCCAGCGCCCCTGCCGATGGTGTCAGTTCCCATCATCAGCCTCGGGGTCCGGCTACCCTCTCCAGCCCTGCCGTGTCCATCTGCTGCCCTGAGGAAACGTCAGTAAGCACCTCAAGGACTCTGGAGCCACTTTCCCCTAATCCTCTAGCAGAGGCCTGGAGATGGAGGCCCACAGTGCTCCAGTTGGTGTTCACGAACATTTTGAAAAGCCACG